AGTGTCTGAGCCTTACCAACCTCCTCTGCTTTCACTGAAAATGGTACAGCATTTCACCTGTACATTTATACAGGTTAACCTGTCTGCCGACCCAAGACAACCTGCATTGACAGTGTTTTAAATTTACGGTCCCATTGGTAACTGCAGTATGTCGTGCCTTTCAGATGTGCTCTGCTGCTCTTCAGACTCGTTTGTCTTCCACTGTGGATTGCTGGGTTCCAAACTAGGACTGGTTTGGGGATTGTCCCTCCACAGCCTGGAGAATACAGAACAGCATAGGCTGCGATCAGACTCTCTTCACCTATGGGGGGGGGGGTTACCTGTTTTTAATAGAAATTTAGGTGTTTTAGAAGTTAGCGACAGCCCGTCAGGAAAAGGGCAACAAGGAATGGTGCATTCATCATCTCCTGACATCTGTCTTGTCATACTAAGAGAAATATGCAACCTGCAGGACTTGAAGCATGGAGTAGGTGTGATGTCTCCAGTATAACAAACTGCTATCTCTTTCTTAAGAATTGACTTAATGTGATTTTTTTATTAAACCATGAGATGCCTACTAGGATGAAAAGCAAAGTGTTTTCGCTGCAGAATTTCTGCTGACATACAGGGGAAAATTCATTCAAGGAGAGCACTGACTGTATTTTCAAGAGACTTACCAATTACTTATTTATTGATTAAGTATGGGTTTGGTAGGAAAATATCGATAACAGCAAGTATTTTTTTACTTTTAGGTTAAGTTTCATTTATGGCCTGTTCCAGCTGCACTGAACAGTCTTATTCACTAGGTGGAGGATAGAAGTAAGCACTTGACCTGTGTAGATTTTAGGCATTTTCTTGGATTTTAAAATGAAATTTTCACAGAAGGGACTCAGTATCTGGAAGGAAGGCAAATATTTTTCAGTTTTACTTTAATATATAAATTAAGAAATAAAATTGTAGTAATGTAGAAAATAAATAATAAAACTTTGGATTAAGAGTTCTCTCAACTTTCAAATATTTGTCTGTGAAAAGATCTCTTCTGTCATCTAGTGTTTCATTTTCTTTTTGAAGAAGTGAATATATTCCAGGTTCATATATCTCATTAGAATTAATTTTCCATGCTTTTTATTCATTAAAAGATATTTTTTATATACATCAAAAAGTAGAAAATGACAAAAAGTCTACTGATGTATGAAATACTAGAAGCTTTATTATTATACTATTATTCTTGAAGAAAAATCAATCATGGTGTTTCTTGGATTTTACTTACCTGCAAGTTGTTCCATGTATTCATCTTCTCACAATAAGTTTTACCCAGGCTTGAATTTGAGCATCTACTTATCTTTAAAGCTTTCTTGTGCTACGTTGACTATCCCTATAGTCTGCCAGATTGCAGAGCAGGTCATAGTATTACTACACCAGCTGACCTGGCTGCAAGTCAGGCACATGCAGTTATGATATTGCAACAGCAAACCTAAGAGAAGCATCTGGACCGAGAATTTAGAAAACAGCAGCAGTGTAATGTTTTCTTTAGAATTCAGTTGCAGCGTGTGCTTCACCTTTCAGAACTGGAAATTTAAAGGAAGCTCTTTAGAGCAGAACCTTTCTTTTTCATCTTATGCCTGCCTGTGTGTGCAAATATGTGTGTGTGTACAAGTATGCATCTTTGCACTCCCCTTGCCAAGCCATCTCCAGTATTCAGTGGGATTCCTGAACCCCATGCTGAAGGTGGGTGGATGCCAGGAGAGCTGTAGGGTGACTGGTGCAGCATAGACAGCTGTGTGCCTGGGATTGCCCCTGCAGCTGCAGGAAGCAGTGCAAGTCCTGGGGCAGTCCTGAAACCCTCCCCAAGCCAAGGGAAGGCAGGTCCCAGTGTGAGCTTGTAAATTATAAGAAATCTGGAAATAACTTCTTTGCTTTCCTTTCTAATGCTAGCTATGCTAATATTATTAGCAATGTGGGAGTACATGTAGGAAAGAACATACTCTAGAATCTTCTAACTAATTAGGAGTTTGCTGGTTGGCATAAATAATGAATTGTGAGTGAGGTGATACATGAAGTAGTTTGATTTTTAACCCACAAAGAGTAACATAGGATTGTCTTAACTAGAGAATAGAGACTGACCTTGATGCAGTTGCATGTTGGATTGGTAATGAAGTCCCAGGGTTGTTCTGATATTGGGCATTTCAATAATACTCCAGTGGGATTAGTCTGTAATAATAATGCCAAAGCAATGCAGATGAGTAAACATGTAATATATAGTATTATAAGAACAGTAATCATGTGCGATTTAAGAAAGCAAAGATAAAAACCAGAGAGAGAGGGGTATCAAATGGACCTGGTTCAGAGCCCTTCCAGGGATAACAGTCTCTTATAAACAAAACCAGCTTAAGTAGTTTGATTTCTTCCTGATATGATTATGTACAACAAAAGCTACAAAATCCTTCGGAGCAACAAACCTAATGAAACTACTGTGCATGCTTAGATGACCTTATCTGTCAGTTAGCAATGAGCCTTTCACACCACACCTCCCTTGCAGTGTTGGTGCATCTTTCCTTTCTGCCTACCAAGGAAAAGTGTCTAGAAGTCGCTGTTCTTTTGGCAGAGGTATACAGAAATTTGTCAGAATGGTAAGCAGGAAGGAACCTGGTCATCACTTTCCATATCAGTAGTTGAAGGGAATTGTAAAACTGTTAGCCAGCTTAAAATACTGCATGGATCATCTGTTCCACATGTCACTTCAGGCAGCATAGTATTTCCCAGAATTGGATTGAAAACTCAGAACCTATATAAAAGATCAAAGCACATGACAGTATTGTGCTGTGGCAAAAGATTAGGCATGTGCAATGCATTGTTGATGTTCCATATACACATTCTGGCAAAATATTCATTAAAAAAAATAAAATCTTAGATGGTTCCTGAGAACCAGATTGCACTACTGAGAAGTGAAAAGGAAGGATTCCATCTGGGAGATGGAGTGAGAGGAGAATTCTCCTTTTGATTCCAGATCTCACGATTGAATAAACTCTGAATAAACATGTGTCACTCAGTAGCAAAGCTCGTCAGGTTGCATCATGGGTGCAAATATACAGTAATTTTGGTTTCAATAAGTACCATGTCTAACTCTTGTGATCCTTATGAATACTTACAGGTTTTTATAAAACTGAAAGCAGCATTTTGGCCTCTCTACAGCTATGTAACATGTCTGCATGTTCAGATGCAGGTAATCACATCTGTTCTTTCTGAACTGTTAAGAAGGCCAGATGTGAGTAAACATTGTGGAATCTCAACAGCTTCCAAATGGTACCCAAATGGTGGTTTGGTGTCAGCCAAGTTGAAGAATGCACCAGGTAACTATGCTGCTGTCTACTTCTGACAACCCATGCTGCTGACTGAATACACTGCAGAATTTTGTCTTAATAGAAGCTTTATAAGCATAGAAGAATTCTTACCCAAGCACTTAAATCATGCTGTATAATGATAAAAATGTGAATAACTGAAGTGGGATCATCATCAGCTAGAATGGAAATGGCCTGACAGCCACCTGGAAAGGAGCAGGAACATTGCATGGCATGATTCTACATTGGAAAAAGATTCAGTAGTTAACTCCATTAAAAGTACTACCGAGGATTACAGGACTGTCCACCAGGACTGGAGGCTCTTCTGAATGCTTTCCTCTGTCTGCCACCATTTCCTCAAATACAGAGGCAATGGTGGTAGGTTTGGCAATTCTTGTTCTGAGTAGCCATTCTTCATATAAAGGTGAAAATGTATTAGGTCATCTTGTCAGTCATGTGAAAAGATCTTGGAAGAACCTTGCTGGTGTTTGTATAGTGCTACTTCTAGATCTTACTGAAGAACATTTGAATATATACAAGGAACTCGCTTGTTTTTTGGGTGGATTTTAGTCTTTAAATCTTATGCCAGCACAGCAAACTTCTAGTGCGGTGCAGGCATACTGTTTATTTACAATGCATATATGATATTTTTAACTGACCAATTCACCTGAAAGCTGCATGTTGATACTGAAAAGGGCCAGAAAGATGAATGAACCTTCTAGAATTTTAATGGATCTTTAGGATTTTGTGCATTTTTCCAGAATACCTGAGCAGCTGGTGGTTTTAATGGGTCTCCTCTGACTGAAAACAGTGGATATGAGGTATGATTGCCTCGTGGCTTTCCAAACAGTTGCAGTCCTGCTGGAACTGTGCATATGTAGATTATCTTATCCATCCATGTACGATAAAGGCATCTCTTTTTGAAAGTTTGAGGCTTTTTATTGCAGGTGACCTGCATTTGTTGATGTCTGTGGGATTAACTTAGCATTTTCCAATTATGCTAAATGGAGAAACTGCAGAAGAGGGTGTCTCAGACAGCATGTGATGGAAATTTTATATATACTTACAACTATGAAAACCCTTCACCTACTTTGTACCTGTTCTGCAGAGATTGCAGAGAGTTACAGTGGAACTATATATGTGTAAGAATAAGGAATAAAACTGTTAAGATCTGATATATTTCTGTCTGGATTCTTGCTATGTTCAATCGTTTTTATTAACACTGACACCTACTAGGGGCCTCAAAATGAGTCTGAATCTAAAATTATAGTTTTGTTATATCTTTGCATCTTTTACCCTTCTGTTTATTCAGTTGAAGTACTTTATAAAACACAGAGGTCAGAGGGAGAGAGCAGAAAATGAGAAAAGATAGCCTTCTTAAAATGCGAAACAAGTACCTTAGTTATAAGCATTGCCAGCCTTTGTATTTATTGGCTCTATATAGGATACCAGCATATTGGTATGGTTTTTAATAACCTTTTACAGATCATATGTCTCAAGATTTATCTGTATGCAGACCTTTGCGCACAGTACTTGTGAATTGTAACATAAAGAATCTCCAGATGTACATGTTATTTCTTATTAACACAGAACGATTTTCTAGGGAACTAGATGACATATGAGAAAGGCTACATCTGTGCTATTACTTAAATCTTAATAATGTCAATAATTTTCTTTCAACAGAGGAATTCAAGGGCTCAACAATAGTTGAATTAATGAAAAAAGAAGGCACCACCCTAGGGCTTACAGTATCGGGGGGTATTGACAAGGATGGGAAACCAAGAGTATCTAACCTTCGCCAAGGAGGAATCGCTGCTAGGTAACCACATCTCAAGCCACAAAATGCATTATAAGATGTGATTGCTTCGAAAATATGTACCACATCAGAAAGGTCACTAAAAAATATGTGACTGGATGCATCTATAATGGCAGCCCATCACACTGGAGAACCTCATAGGGAAATGGCAACAGCTGGTCCTCCTCTTTGCTCAAGGCTACTTCGATAAAAACTAGAAATACCAATGAGATATTTGGAAGTCATCATGAGACTAATGATATTTATTCTAAATTATATATGTTTTATTTCTCTGGTTTTTTGTCCTTGAACAAAAATTTGAGAGAAGTAGCATAACGTACTGTGGGGAAAAAATAAAATGGAAAAACTAAGGGTAGTCCTACCGTAATTTATTTATTTTTTTTAACTGTTCATCAGCTGGTTTTAAGATTAAAAAGGCTCTAAATTCATAGCTACCTTGGTTGCTACTACAGTGGAAAGAAAAAGCTGTTATTCATGAGTGAGACAAGTTGAAATATAAAGGCTGAGCTGAAGCACTCCAAGTAACCAAGCAGAACATATGCTTTTGGGCTGTGGCCTGTGTCGTGTAGCTGTGATGTTAACTGCAAAGGCAACCACTGTTTTGGACACTTTCCAAAGAGAGAGAGAGAAAGATAGGGACATGAAGAAGATGACTTCCCAGATCCTGTGTCCAAACCAGTCCCATCATCCAACTCCTTTATTGTATAGCTGGTTTTGTACATCAGAAATTAATAATGCAACAATGTTCTTCTTTTAGTATTTAACAAGATAGATTAGATTATGATCTTAAAATGCCGCTTTCTGTTAGAAAGTTCAACCTATTTTAATCCAGATTAATGGAAAAAGTATTTTGTACCGTCACTAAACAGTACTTTTAAAGGATTTAGTTTGGTCCAGAAGATCTGTCTTTAACAAAAGGAATATATACTTTTCCCTAGGAGTGACCAGCTGGATGTAGGCGACTACATCAAATCTGTGAATGGAATCAACCTGACCAAATTTCGCCACGATGAGATCATCAGCCTGCTCAAGAATGTTGGTGAAAGGGTTGTGTTAGAAGTGGAGTATGAGCTGCCTCCAGTCTGTAAGTAATCGCAGAGCAAACTGAAACCTATGCAGAATAGCAGATGTTGTCAGCAGTGAGATGGGCATGGTTGATGACAGCCATTTTGGTAATGATTGGGTTTTTATGTTCTATTTTTATTTTTTTCTGTGGCTTATTGCAGTGTGTTGAAGCAGTAGAAAAGAAATGGCAGTACAGGGGGATGCTTTCAGATGTTTTAAAAGCATGAATCCCACCAATGACAGAGCAGAGTTGTCAATCTCCACTATTTTATTTTTTTTGTTTGCTTGTTTGCAATTTTGAATACTGGAAATCAGTTTGGGTGGATTCTGTGGCAAGAAAATCCTTCTTGTTACAGTAAGATCTTCTAACATGAGACTAGTGAATATCTGCTAGTTCTGCCTCTGCCTTTTCCTTGTGTCTCTTCACTTGCAGCACCCTTCCTCTCTCCCAGATAAACAACATCCTTTGGGACTTTTCAGTCTTTTCTGATGTCACTTTCAGGCAACATTTCGTTTCTAGAGCAGAAGACCCAGAGGGGTAGGCCATGAGGATACATAAACTTGCAAGAACTGTGTGACTGAAACAAGAGCTTTCACTGAGCAGGATTTTCTTCAAAATATAAATTTATGCTGACGCTAAAGTCACAGAATGCTACTGAATGTTTTCCTTGCCTCTCCTTTGCTCTTTCTTATGTGCTTATGTCTATAACTGTGTCTATAGGAGAAAATCAGTGCGAATCGAGTCTATCAGGAATGAAGTGAAAGCTAGAGAAACAGAGAGTTGGAAACCCGGGACCTAAAGTGAAGGAGTGAGTGTCAGGTGGCTTCCTGGCACCAAGGAGCTGCATCAGTCACACCTTTAAAAGGGTGTGTGCTCCTTCATGCTGCTCACTAGAGGGGAGAAGATGTGGTTTGCTGGTGTTTGGCCAGAAAAATCTGGAGTCAACTAGGAAGTTCATGCTCCCTTAAATAAAGAGTTTCATTGTAATAGAAGCCAAAAAATCCATCACTCTCTTCAGTATTTAGAAGATGATGACCTCCCCACAACTTTCCAGCAGCTGGAGGGTTAGTCTAATTACATACTTGGTGGTTTTTAGGACCTCCTGACAACCATCTTAATATGCTTTGAATGTTCTCTATTTAGTGTTTGCTTGTGGTAACAGAACTTCATGTTCTAAAACACAGAATCTGAGTTAATGAAGTTAGCCGAGTTCTGAGTTACTTTGCTGCAGATGTATTTGTTTTACCAGCATTAATTGGTTTGCATTTATTCAAGTGGGCTTTCTTTTGTTTCATCCCCTTTTAGCATATGTGCCACTCTTGTCCACTGAAACAGGATTTTGACATGCTAAATTACAGTAGAAATTATAACTTTTTTTTAAGTCCTTGGAATTTCCGATGTCTTCATACAAGCGTAGATAATGGAGATAATTAGCAGTCTAGTTGTTTCCATTAACTTCTAATGAACAGGCTAGACACAATGCTTTCGTTACACACAGAAGGTTTCTGGTAAGTCGTGTGGTGAAGTCCTGGCACCTCCTTCCTGGCCCCCATACATAATGAAATTCTACTGTTGTTCTCATGGTTGCCTCCTCAGAGAAAGGACTATCATGGTTTCAGCATGGGGTAATGTCAGTCATTTAATAATGATGGATTAAATTTGGTTTAGCACTGGTAATCTCCCTCTCCCTAGTGCTTCTTCCCATGCCTACAAATGGTCACAGCAGCTAGTTTCAGCACGAGCCACCTCAGTGTTTAAAACAGGAGTACGTGTCTCACACCTGTCTTTTGCTGTTGGTAAGGGTTAAGGACTTCTTTCCAGTACCAGGCTGAGGCTGGGGTGGAAGGACAGCCACCTGAGTGGCTGTTGCCCTAGTGGAAGGATGCTACATGCCAATCCTTGCTGCTGAACTGTAGATTTTGTCTGTCCTCAGTGAAGGTTAGACTCAGGCACAGCAAACAGAGCAAGAAGCACGGATTCATCTTGAGCTACACGCGAGGCCGCTTCCTGTTGATAGGAATGAAGGCAAGAGTTGTCTACTCCTCCCCATAATTCGGTCCTTTTCAGTCAGTAAAGTGTTTCTAGCTGAAAAGGAAACAACCACATGGACTCAGTAACACAATCCTGATCTTCAAGCTGTAGCAGGAATTACTGCAACACAGAGCAGTGCTCTGAAGGGCCATATTTCACCTGCTTTCTTAAGGAAATGAGATTTATGTGATTTCACTGGGTGGTTCTCCTGGGTCCCTGCAGTAACTTTTTTACTGGGATTGAAAAGCTTTAAAAAAAGTACATTACAGTACATGTCCTGGAAATAGACACTTGAGCAAGTCCCTGAGTAGGGGAGTCCTCAGAGAGAGAGGCATACAGTGCTGAGGGGGCACCACTCTTCTGGCACCTTTCATGGCTGGCAGCACATGCAGGGTAGCTTGTGGCGTCCGTTTTCCCTTCAGGGTGTCCTGACGGGGAAACTCTGGTTATTGCAGGCAAAAACATTAAATAACATAAGTTTTCATTAGTTCTGCTACTCACAGAGCATGTATTTTATAGAGATGGGTTGGTTTGGTGGTTTTTTTAACTTCGTGTGTTGTGCTGTTTGCAGTATTTGACTGGAAGGTAGGAAGTGTGAGTGTGTGTAATTTTGCCCACTGTCTTTCTCCCTTCAGAAAAGAGAGTTCGTAGGCTATGCCAAAGTTTTTCCTGTAAAAGCTAATAGTAAACTGTCTGCTGGTCTCTTAACAGCAGTGATTTCAAATTCTACAAAGTGGATTATCACACCCAAATGCATTGGTCTGTGCATTAGGCTTCTCACCCCCTAATCCAGCTGTGCACCACTCCTCTAGTGCTTACAGAGAAAACACTGAGTAGACTAGAAGTCAAAGAATTCTTACACTCACCAGTGATGAGGGAGCTACATTTTGAAAAAGAAAAATCCTTATTATACAAAACACATTTTGCATCTTAATTTAGTAATCTGAGATTAGAAATATTAGAGATACACCCCCAAAATGTCAATTGTCTTTGCTTTATGCAATAAAAATAAATGTTTTCATAGCTGAATAACAAGCTTAATAGGTAGCTCTAAGAATTTCATTTGCCATTTTTTCTCACTGTGCATTTCCATATTTTCTAGCACTCTTCTGTAACTACAAGAAAAGCAAAATTATGCCATAATTTAAACAGTAAGACTCAAATTCCTCACCCGTTACATGCATCTATGTCTCTTTTCCCAGACCATTGGCACTTTGCAAAATATCTGGTCCAACATTCTCTCAAAAAGAGGATGAGTTGTGTTGAATTACAAGTCTTCCGCCTGACTGTTTTGTAATTCAGTCTTTCGAATTTAATGACCCAATATCTATCTTCAATTGTAAAAGGTGTAGGTCTGCATGTATAATTAGAAAAATACTAATAATTAAGTTTTGGATTCTTTTTGTTTTATTTGTTTTTCTTTTAGCTGTACAAGGATCCAGTCTCATCTTTAGAACTGTGGAAGTTACTTTACATAAAGAGGGGAACACTTTTGGATTTGTAATAAGAGGTGAGTTACTGTTGAGTTTGAACCCTTTGTATTATCTAAATAAGCAAAAAAGTGATAATTTTTTATGATACTCAGAAATACGTAAGGATTTATGGCTTGAAGTTTCTTAAAGTCAAAGTATTACCTTTTCCATACCTTCATGTACTGCTTTTATGAACTGCTCTAATTTTTGTTTATGGAAGAACCTTAATTAATAAACTATTTGAAGAAAACATGATAAACTTCATTTCACATAAGACCAGATTCTGCTACATACCTTCTGCTACCTGAAATCAGCAGAAAGGTCATATTTCTTAAAAAAGAGTTACATGTAGTATTTGTATAAATTAGGCAGGAAATCTGATTAATCATGATGATAGTCTGAATTGTACAACTAAAATATTATCACTGACTTAAGAGAACGGAAGAAAATATAGAACTGTTAAATGATGTACCCCAATGACGCATTATCAGTTTCTTCAGGGAAAACCTTTTTTTAATTATACATAAATTCACTAGCGGCCACTCATTCTGAGTATACATAAAATAAGGGTGTTCTTTTTCTCTGTGCTGTAAACACTACAGAACAGTAAGTGTTCACACTGAGATCAGATTTGCAGAGTAAAAGTTCTAAGAAAAAAATATATATTTATTAAGAATCACTCCATAGAAATGTTTTTTAAAGATTCATCTATACATAGAGTAAGTTGATTTTATTTAAGTTTAAATTCAGAGGAGGGTGATATTAATAGTTTGGCCATTTTTTGATCTTTTTAGCCCATCTGTAAAGGTTCATGCTGCAAGATTTAGGTTTGCCTCTTGGAAATGAGCTTTCATAAAAACCATAAAATGAAGGTGTACGTTCTCTCACTTTTTCCTTTCTAGGTGGAGCACATGATGACAGAAATAAATCTCGTCCTGTTGTAATAACATGTGTTAGACCTGGAGGGCCTGCTGACAGGTACACTTCATCTTTCTCTGTAGTACATGTGAAAGAGAAATGGGGAAAGGTGAATTATTTGGGACAGAAGTTAAGATTTGGAGTGAAATAGATGTATTCAAACTCAGTCCATTGAAATTCATGGTTTAGCCTTTAATTGTTGTAATAGTAATAACAACAAGAACAGTAATGGGCAACCACAGAGGCTCAGCGTGCCATGGTGTGTATGAACTTTAATTTAGAATCTTGCACATCAGACTTTCTCATTAAATGCTTTCAAAAATTAACCCAAAATAATTAGAACAAATGCCTGCAATAGATCAGAGCACATTTTTTTGCATCCTTCAGACAAATGGTGTAGCTCTTAATTATGCTTTTTATACTCTAACACTACCATCTTTTTCTCTTGCAATTCAGAATAATACTGTCTTGTGTGTGAGTGTTGTTGCATTATTCTGTTAAGATATTTGTACATATCTGCATGTGAGTTCACACATAACGTTGCCTGGACAACTTCTGTCTACAGATTTGTTTTGGACATATTTGTATGTAATACCATTTTATATTTATATCACTTTATTTCTGTGTACAAACTATATTTTCAAAAATGGCACTCATGTCCTTAAAACACTCAAGAAACTCAAAGGGCAGTTTCTGTAAAGCAGACTGATGTTCTGTAGCCTATGTTGACATTTTTGACATTGGAAATGTTAATTGAGAAGAAAATGCTTCAAGAGAGCCTCTCTTTTGTTCCATGGCTTTCTTCTCTTCATCATCCTTGTTTTTCTCCATGATTCTCTTAAGCTGACAGTGTTAGTACTTCATTTTCTATTATAATTCTGAATAGATTATGAGATATGCCTAGGAGACAGTGTAATAATTTAGAGCCAAATTATTTTCGGGTAGGAAGAAAAGAAAAATGGAATTATCCAAGTAAGAGATATTTTAAAAGAAAATGAATGGACATTCATGTTTTGCAATCTGTTTCTGCACTCGTGTTTGCACCTCATGTTTGTTATTAAGAAAATATTGGAGGAAGAGATGTTTGTGTATGTATGAAAAAAGAGTTGTGTGGACAAGGCAGAAAGCAAACATATGTTGGAGCAGACGCTATACTTAGTTGCAATTTAATGTGACTTGATTATTTCGCTATGTGGTAAGCTGTTTTCCAGTCACTGACTTTCCAATTAAAGCAATTTCCTTTCCACTGCGCCCTCTGAACATTCTCACTGTCAAAGTAAATGTTAAGTGTTAAGGCACGAGGGATGGATGTCAGGGAGGGTTCTAGAGAATTGCTTTGCCTAAAAATGGTATTGTCTCCAAATCAATTTTTCTTATATTAACAAAGATCATTCCTTTAATGTCCCATCAGAGAGGGCACAATCAAACCTGGGGACAGGCTGCTGAGTGTTGATGGGATCCGACTGCTGGGAACAACACATGCTGAAGCTATGAGTATTCTCAAACAATGCGGGCAGGAGGCGACTCTGCTGGTTGAATATGATGTCTCAGTGATGGGTAAGTTGAGAAGTGGGGCTTTAATTCTGGGAGCCATCTGTGATGTTTTGCTGCCTGTTCTTGATGAGCTATTTTAGAAGTGATTGTGACCTGTTATGCTTCTAGTAGCACTGCTATTCCCTTCTGCATCGTGTCATTAATCTCGGGTTCAGAAGGAGGTGAGCGGTATTTCACTGTAATTTAGCATTCTGACATTTCGTGGTTTGTAGAGTGAAACCATAGTGTGGATTCTAGCAAAGTAACTTTTCTTTTCCAGTGACTAGTTTATAATAAAGGTTAATGAAGTGTAAGCATTTCTATGTCACATGAAAGAGGGAGTATACTTGCTCTAACAAGAATTCTTTTGCCTTTTGCCAGTGCTGCTAGATGGCCAAGACATAATTAAAAAGTCATAAGACTGCCACATAGAAAATAACAAGGAAGAGAAAATTTGTTAAGAAATGCAGAGGTGACAAACCACAGCTTGAAAAATGAGCTTACACTTTATACAAACTTTTATTGAACTCACTGAAAATGTGGAAGATTTCTCTGGAAAGTCAAGTAGAGAAGGTGATTTTTAACAAGAGATTTGGGATTGAGTTGTTTCCACTTGTTTTGGAAGTTGTCATATCCCCTCCGTTTTTACAAGATACAGAAAATTCATGGCAGCAAGAAATAGAAATACTCACCAGTCAGACTAAAATATTTCTTCTCTGTTTTGGGATCCTTCCCTTTTTTTCCTCTTCATCTCCACATCAGGTTTCTAACCTAGCAGTAAAGCAGCGTCCTAGGGATTTGTGAAATAGCACTGTCAAACTTCAAAGTCTTGGAAAAGATTAATGCTGTAAAGAATAATGTCAGGTATTTGTTTAGTCTGAAACAGCCCTCTATTCTTCTCTAAGACACAGATTTTTTTTTTATTACAATATACATCTCTATTTACTTAACTACGAAGAACTGAAGTGGCAGGTTTGTCTGGTGTCTGGCAGGCCTAATGGACAGTTGTACAGGTCCAGAAAGGTGGAGACAGCTCAGACGAGCTCTAGTTCCTGATAAGAACTAGAATTTAGGTGTTTTCATTTGTTTGTTCTTTTTCTTTAGAAAATGACGGATGACCAAACCCTGTTTATCATCACAGTTAAAACAAGATTCTTTATACTCTACTTTCTCTAAAAGTGAGATCTCACTGCAAAATGAACCCCTGGCTTTAGACAAAGTTCCCAGTGAACTTTCATTTCAGAGAAAACTCCCATCCCCATTCTCTTGTATACCCAAAGGAGAGAGTCAGCCTCCATTTCACCGAGGATCTTTTAGAAATCTTTGCAGGTTTTTGTGAGAAGACCACATGATGAAAAGCTTTGTTGTGTTCTAAATTGCAGCTTGTTCAAGGCAGGAACCTTTCTTCAGTGCTGTCTGGATAGAGCTCAGTGCATGAGCATGCAGAACTTAGTTTGAAGTTTCAGGTTTATAAATGTAAAGGTAACACCTACCAGTTGGTCTCTCCCTGTCATTTTCTCTCTGAATAAACTCTCTTTTGTTCTCAGCAACAAATCTGGATTTATCATGCCTGCCTTCCTGGCAGTGAGTGTGTTATTCTACGGAAATTTAAGGTGGTAGAAGAATCTGAGACTTGTGGAGTCAGAAGGAAGGAAGGAAAAGGAAATCAAACACTGGGAAATATATGGGATTGCGGTCCAGCAGAGTTTGCAAGAAGAAATAAGGAGGAATCCAGTAGACTGGCTTTCTAATGCATTATGATTTTTTTAGATTTTACCTAGTCCTAGTAGATTTTGATTTTTTTCCAGTTTGTCTATCCTGCATAGTTTTCCAGCAGTAGTGTGAACAAAGAAAATTGTTGGAAAGCTCTCTTCACTTTTTGCAGTTACGTTATGACCGTGGTGCAAAGGCTGAAAATCATTCATCCTAATCCATTGATTCCTGGCCCAGGAAAACTTTGCTGATTTGATTCTTCTCTTAGTTCTGCTCAAGAGCAGTGAAGTCAGTTGCAAGTAACATGAAAGGGAAGAAGGACATGACCCATGAAGAAAAATTTAGGAATTGCAGAAATGTTACTAGGTTCCTCAACTCTTATGTTACCCACAAACTATTTGTAATGCTAAGGGTTGACATGAATTTGATAATAGGCTAAAAGAAGAGAAAGGTCATTGAGTAAGGTCACTTATCAATAACTGAAACTTGAAACTAGATTAGTAGGTTAGCTTGCTTGGGTTGGGGGCAGTAATCCAAAAATTACATAAAAGTCTGGTGTATTCTGTAGGGTCCTCCTGGTATAAACTTGTGGTAGAATATATTACTCCCAGAGATATAATTATAGCATTATTTGCTTTAATATCCTCTCTTCTGTTAGTGGATGGTTATATCCTGTAAAGTATCATTGTGTGTGGCCAGAACTGGAAAGAGCCATAAAATACATTCTGATAGCGTGAAATTGGAACTTGAGTTGAAAAGGTTAAACTAGATGAAGAAAATAATCTTGAACTCTTTTTCAGCTACAGTCCTGTAGTGTGTAACTGACTTTTCTTACTCCTGTAAGCATAAACTGTTTCAGAGGTGCTGTATTTCTCAAAGTTTAGTTCCTTTGCCTTAAGTCTTCAAGAGGTCACTTGGGAAGCTTGTACATTTTATTGTTTCTGGAACCTAGACAAACTGGAGTAAAAAAGGCATCAAGGGGTTCTGTGCAGGGTAATCAAGTGTGTATATAATGTAGATGTGGCTATTCTGGTTGAACTCTCTGGGGTTACACTTGTGCTTGCTTAAGTACCTCCTGAACAATCTTGCTCAGCTGAGTCCTAGGAAATAAACGTGTCAGTTCAGCTTCTTGGAAGCTGATGAAAATGTTTCCAGGTTGGTGTGGGCAGTGTACTGCTGTGTAGTTTCAAAGAGACTTTGAAATAATAGTAGTTTGGAAATACCAAGATAATCTCTAAAGAAAATAAGAGCACATAATTTTTGAGAAAATAATTTGTAGCCTGATAAAAATTACATTTGAAGTTGTGGAGGTTGCAGTCTTTCCAAAATACCTCCTGCACTTCAGTGTTTGCAGAGAAGATGGATATGGTGACTTGCTCTGCACCCAACTGTGTGGAAGTAACAATATCTGTGTGGGCTTTATCACTTTTCTGTGTAATCCTTACACCTGAATTGTCCAACCTTTCTGGTCATATGCATCACCTATTTTCATCTAGTAGTGGGAGAGGTCTGAATAGTACAACTTCTCTGTGCTCTATGATTACACCTGTGCCCCTCATTTTGTGGAGGAGGAGTAGAGGCAAGGTGGTGGCTAGCAGTGACTTGCTACGACTGTCAAAATAATTTTGCAACCTGAATCTTCTCTTGTGGCAACCAAATAGCCAATATTAATTCCCAGCTATAAACTTAAGTTGGGAAGACTTGAAGTTCTTACTGTTTGGCAGCAGTCGGGATGAAGTATCCTAATGAGCTGCTAGAGTTGGAGTGAGAGTGAGAATTAGAATGCAACGTTAATAATGAACTACAAACAGAGGTTCTCAATACCCCTGTCTAAAACAAGAAATAAAAGTTATCACTACATTGAAGCTGAGCAGATGCAGTTTCCTTTCAGGTTTTCCAAGATTTGCCATAATGCCACTTGGCTCTGTGTTGTCTCTATAATTGAGGTTGCGCCTGCTTCGGTAGTATTCCATAGTAGCTCTGAAAGGGAGCATTCAGACAAGTTCAAAGGTAATGACTACCTTCAGTTGAAATTCTGGCCCATAACATTTTTATGTAACTCTGGTTTCATAAGTTGATGATGATGAGCTTTTGAGCAACCTACTTTTTAATTCTTGGATGTTCCTGCTGGGGTAAACTTTGAATCAAGGATACTGTAGTTAAACAAAACTCATATCTTTTGCCAGGACTTTGGTACAAAAGGAAGCTTTTTTTAGCTGTCTGCACCTGTGACACACAACATCTTTCTCTGTCATCTCTTTACTGGGTTAGTTCAAACCACTCTGTGCTCTTCAGGAATGAAGGAACATATTGCACGTTCAAATTCCATATGTTTCTCTGGCTTCTTTAACAGTTCTTGCACTTACTTGAGCTAGAATAGATTTGCTGGAACGTGGCACCCTGTAATTGCTCTACACGAAACAGATACAGTCAGCTTATTTTTTTTGTCCAGGTCTACCAGAGTCACTCTGGCATAGAACTGGTCAATTTTAACTAGAGCAACACCCTCAATTTTCTGAACTCAATGTTTAACACTGATAGAACTTTCTATAAAGGGGATTATTGATGCAGTCATTTACTAGTAAATCTTTAACAAACCCCATCTAAGCTGCTTGCTTCTTCAAGTTCACCCATTTAAATAAATACATACATAAATTCATTAATACTGTAACAATCTTTTGAGAAGACATTTAAAGAAATCTAACTCTCCCTTCAATAATTCTGCCTGACAAAAAGATCACTAGAGAGAGATAACTTGCATGATTTAAAGATCATGTGAGGTAATCTGTGGTCTAGTGTAGACTTCCAGTAATTTTTGCAGGACAAAAAATAGAGAAGAAAAAAGAACTTATGGGCTGCTCCTTAAGTTTCATAAAGCAGTATCACTCAAGAGTATCCAGAGCTGTGGAGACCCTTAAGAGCTATGGAGTTTTACAAGCCCAAAGGAACAGGAGCTCCAGAGACTCCAAGGACAGATTCCAGATCCTCATAAGCCTTATAAATGTTGCAAGACCTTGAAAGTTGAAGGAAAGTCAGGAAGCCTGTAGGATTGCATACTACCTTTTTCTTTCCGTTTCTTTATAAACTTAAAATTAACATTTCCTTTGTCTCTCACAAGTTTTTGACAGAACAGATAGGTAGAGTACTCTAGCATTTGACTGCAGCTGCAGGTCTCCTGGCTGTCACAGAGGAACAGGCTTAGATCCCTTGAAATTCAAAATATGAATTAGTTGCTTAAACCTTTAAAGAACATTTCTTGTCTTATGTTACTTCAGAGACAGATTGAATGAAAATTCATGTGCAATGCAAAG